TAGTTGGACTATTTTGAATAACTTCTGACTATCGAGGAATTGTATTGTTGTTTATTAAACCTGTAACGGTTGATTGTTATTCAAATATGAATTTTATTGAATAGAATTATCAGTTCAAAGAAAAACTGGTGAATAAAATGTTTGCTGCTATTTCGAAGAAATTATGCCGCGCGTTCAACGTCTTGAATGAAAAATAGACTTCTAATTAATGTAATAAAATTATCTGAACATTATAACGAAATATTTGATATCCCTAGAACAGAAGTGGTGAGATGATTGTATAACTTGATATTTCCACCTTTGACTAGAACTTATGTAAATTGATTTTAGAATAAAGGCGAGCTATTTGCTGTTACTAAGAATGTTATAATGATTGTTTCGAAAACCAAGACAAACATTACGTTCAGTAATTAATCGCACAATTCCTTGTCGCCCTCCCACAAAAAGTTGTGTGCGTAAAAAAGTAGCTGTGGAATAAATGTTTTATTTGGAACGTTTTATTAATGAAGTCCAATTTAGGCTCGGCTCGGGGGCGGCCGGGAATTAACAATGTTATAAAACCAACACCTGAGGTTGGCACACTTTTAATTATTACACGGAATCCATCACGGGTTTAGCTCTTTAAGAATAAGCAGAGAAATGTTTATAAAGTTAGTAGTATTTATTTAACTGATTTCAAGAAAAGAAGGTTCTCAGGTTGTTCTGTATGCATGTTTGTTTGTGTATCTACCCGCGATTATATTGCGATCGACTGTGTACCTACTAATTTTGATCCATTCAGAATAGTATTTGTTACAATTAGAAGGAGGTTTTAGTATATTTATGGTCAACGTAATTGGACGAGGTTGAAGTTGATTTTTTTGAGCGTTATAGTTTTAAGAATACATGTTCGAACACTTCGATGACAATCATTTAGCCATTTATTACATAATAATTATAAGACAAAGAACTTACTATTTGATGGAGAACTAATTGCAATGGACTCTAAAGTCTTCAAACCTCCCAATCGCAAGCAATATCGTCAAAATTGAAACTGTAGTCGGCTTCAATGCAAACTTGCAGCCCGACACTCAACAACCTTAATATTCTGAAACCAATATAACCAGCTTCGTAGATTCCTGTCACTATTTTTTGTAGGTCAGCGTTTGGCCACTATCTCGTCTGGTGTGGATGATGCGGCCTACGATGGAGCACGCCTAACTATAAGTAACATATTCACTAGAGACTTGAAGAAACCCAGATTACAATCTTCTAGAAACACAGATTCTGGCAAGGAATCTCCTCACAACCCAGCCGTCGCGAAGGATACTCCGGGCGTCGGGAATCGCGAAACGATATCCGGCCACCGGTAAGCGCGGGCCTGCGGACGGCGAGCATGGGTAGCTGGCCGCCCGATCAGAACCAGACCCCAGCGTACGGCGCATCGCGTTCCGCGCGCGCCTCAAAGAGCCCTCAGACCACCACAGATGGGGCCCAATAGGGTTGATACCGATAGGGAGTCGCGGAGAACCTAACGGGTTACCGGGGCTCCGGCTCGAAGTGCAGACACTTCGAGCCGAGGAGTAGGAACGGGGTGGTTTTTAATCAGTAAGAGTCTGACACTCCCTCCCTCCTCACCCAGGCGGGAGCAGCAATTCAATGATTTTCCCCCTTTAAAAAAAAATGCGGTTCTCCTAATGAAATTCGAAGCTAAACGCTTAGTATTAACCGAAGTATCAACAGATTCGTAAAACATTCACACACGGCTACTTTCCCGAAGCTCCCAATAAGTTCCGCTCCGCCAACGAACGTAAACTAATTATAAGTAATTCATACATCTTGGAAGTTGTGAACAATGAGTATCGTAGTTTGATATTCTATTATTTAACAGGTTCCCGAGTATACTGTGTACGGTGTACCTGAACTCTTCGGGTCGAAAGTATCAACTCAAAGTTATCGGGAATTCGGGACACTGTTTATGTTTCAATGCAAAATATTTGCTAGAAGTTTCACTTATATTTAGTTTTCAAGTAAAATATTGATGGTAGGCGGTGCTTTGGTATTTAGTTCGCTGCATCGCTGGCCACGAAGCCACGAGTTCGATGTGCAAGTAAAAAAAATATTCTAGATCTTTTCATTAACATCATCAATGCCTACTGCTGAACATAGGCCCAGTGACTTCCAGATCGGCCGATTGGAAACAACTTGCATCAAGCGGATTATTTTTTCCAAATTCTCAGTTATATCACGGAGTCCGGAATTACTAGACCCGTTCACTCATAACATAACTTGCATAAAGTGTAGTAAAAACCACATACATAGCTGCAGTAAACCCCAAAAGGGTTGACAGAAGCCTACCCTTTCAGGGAACAAAAGGTTCTGATGTCTCAGTATCATAGTTGTAAGTGGGACCGTAGTATGGATACACGTCAAACTACAAGCACTCATTTTATCATGGTCTCGCATTGTATGATGTTTCCTCACATTGGGCAGTCAGTTTATACTGGTTTGCATATCTTGATGTGTAGTCGTGTGTACGTGGGTAGAATAAAGTATTATGGTACATTTGGAAAGTGTTGATAAATGTCATGGAGTAAGGATTCGTGTTGGGAGTCCACTTAGCGCGCCCACTGCCTCGTGGATTAGTCACATAAATAGCAGAGAGTGGGAGACTGACAGAAAACAATAGAGACGTTTCAGGGAAAAATATAACAATTAGGACGGTAATATTTAATATCATTTGTCTACTTTTTTAAATTATGATGGAAATTGATCTTTTTAAACTGCGTGGCAAACCCTCTCATGTAGAGGAGGCTAAGAATCCAGCGGTGGACTGCCTACAGACCATTCAAAGTGACTATGGGTAATATCAAAATATTCCATGGTGTTATGTTCCCGGTACTTCTAAAACCTTTTTGTAACTTATGGTAAAAGGATGTGAGGTAAAGTCATTATCGGTACGTGTAGCATTCATTATCTTATTATGATATCGCATATATTAATATCATTACTCACAATGGTATTATAGGTGATCATGGGTGAAAATTAGGGTGTTAAAACCATTAGGTTGGGTTCCAATTTGTGCATTCATACCTACATAGGTATAGGTTATACCTATATTATACATACTATACATCGAATTTCAGGACTGCCTCAAATTGGTTAATTTAAAGTTAACCATCAACCATTCAAGATAAGAACGTCTTTTCAAGAGTTTGCAAAGCATCTGCAACTGTTTGTACTGGTATTCTGGGTGTCCATGGACGACATTAATATACTTAGGTACTTTGGAACCTATAAAACTCTTATTAAATAATCATTTTAAAACTACGTTTAAAAGGCCGACTTCAACCCCCTTCTTTTTAGGTTAATTAATATACTAAAACCCTAAGTGTAATAAACACATTTCTAAAAACCGCATCAAAATCGTTTCACTCAATTTCGCACAAACATATGTACATACACACATACAGGTCAAACTATAAAACCTCAATTTTTTTGAAGTCGGTTAAAAAATACCGTTAACCTCATTGCTTTTTCTCGTAGTTATACTTCTGTTCTATCTACATAGTGAGTGTGAGCGAGCGATTGCTCCGTTGACTGCTATTTAAGACGAGAATGTTTTGTTTTAGTTAACACTTTCGACCCAATCGCCTTACTTCAAACCAAGGGAAACTCGCCCTAAAAGTTTTCCCTTAAATATACAGGTAGCCATTAAAGGGGTGACATTATGGTATACGTGTATAGGAGGGAAGATTTTATGATATTGCTATGGCGTTTATAGTGTTTTTTGTGTGCGCGTGTAATACATTGTTGAATCGTGTTTAGTGTCATGTCGAGGCTGTGATATGGAATGATAACGTTTTATTTTACGGCACATTTTTTCCATCAGGTACAGGATAGTAGTTAGAAAGAAAAGAGCAATGAATTTGAATGAGTTTTTAGGTCTTTGATAAAAGTGAAATTATGTTTTTTGAAGGGGCGAAAATCATCGAATGAATGATCCCGCCTGGGTAAAGCGGGAGAGAGTATCAGACTCTTACTGACTAAAAACCACCCCATTCCTTCTCCTGCGCTTAGAGCCGGAGCCCCGGTAACCCGTTAGGTTCTCCGCGACGTGAAAATGTGTTTAACCCTCAAATTAGCTGCGAACGGCGGTGATGATTTCTTGAATGGCTTCCTAAGACACAAAACAAAATGGCAACAGCAATACGGATCTTAAAAATCATTTTATGCATGCAATATAAACAAAACAATAATATTAATCATACATTTAATAGCCTAACTCAACAACTACTAGTTCGTTACAGTTTCCAGTACAATACAAACAAGCACATAGTTTTCTACCCACGTAACATTACGACGTGCTACAGCGGCAGCAGGGTGAGCAGAGATGTCATCTTACAGTACGTATGTAGGTCGAAGCGGTGGCGGCAGACGTCGCGACATCCATGGCGCCAGCTCCCCACTGCCATGCCATAGAATTGTAGTATAATACAGACAAGACTGTAGGTAGAAACAAACGCATCCTTACCAAAATTGAAACAGCATGATAACTGTTTTTCTTCTTATGGGCATTAAACTTTTTTACTTGATGAACAATGAGGAAACTTTGTGAATTCAAGTTATTTCTTATTAAAAAAAATATCATATGTTAACGTTAACTCATGATTAATCTGTCTGTATATCCTCTCAGAGGAAATCACTTCTGTAGGTATAAAAACTTTAGTTACTCCGTGGGAAACTCACTGCAGACGAATCATCCCTTGTTTATAGAGTAACCTCATTGGTATTCCCAGATTCCCATCGATAGTCCACCAATGAGGACGCAGCCAAAAATTTCACCAACCAATCATGACCGTGGAAAATTCTAACAATCTTCCAAAGCGCCAACGAGATGGCAAAGATACAAAGACGAAGGTTTCAAGTCAGTCAGTGTTTTGTTTAAGAAAATAGTTTTTATTTAGTAAAATATAATGCAGAGGTGATTGTTTATCAAGTGCAGTGTGTGCCAGTGAAATATGATCATTATCTACATTGATATACTGCTGTTAATTATATTGGTAAGTTTGTTGTGACGTAACTTTTTGTGCAGATGTTGTTTACACCTTTAAAGAAGTAGTTCATTTTGTGAAATGAGAGGGTGCAATTCATAATAATTTAAGAGAAGAACTTCTAAAACCTTATGTTGTAAGAATATGTAAAAATCTTTGTAAGAATATTGTACTTTACCTAGAGTGGGTACACAACACAGGTACATAAAATATATGAAACCTATTACACTCTGCTTACGTATTGTACTCTGTGCTTTGTTTCTTGCAAGGGGGCCATAGATTTCTTAAATCACAATCAATACAAGCTTACCTTTTTTCATAACAACCTATTGTTTGTTAAAGTGGTACTTTGGAAGGTCCCGTGTAAGGCCCAGCGTATCAAACCATACACATCATTCGCAATATCTACTGTTTTGTTTAAAAAAAATACTATGTTTTTATTTTATTTATGGCATAAGCCGGTAAACGAGCAGATGGATCACCTGATGGTAAGCAATCGGCGTCGCCCATGGACACCTGGAACACCAGAGGCATACAAGTGCGTTACCGGCCTTTTGGGGATTAGGAATTTGATGATTGTTGAGATTTAAAGAGATTTGGGAGATCGGGGAAGTGGGGGGGGGGGTAATTAGGGCCTCCGGTAGCCTCACTCACATGACGAAACACAACGCAAGCTTTGTTTCACGTCGGTTTTCTGTGAGTATAACTGGTATAATTCCGGTCGAGCTGACCCATTCGTGTCGAAGCATGGCTCTCCTACACTTAATCTCTGTAACTCTGTAGATGTCCATAGCCACGTCTTCGTCCGTTGCATAGCGTACTTTAACCACATTTTAACTAATCTAGATATAAAAGAAAGAAATGAAACTAATATAGCCGTTAGTGTTAATACCCTTAGAAAATTCTCCAAAGTTTAAGTTTTAGAGTAAAACCTTCGTGCAGTTGTCCAGGTTCTCTAAGACCTGGGCATTAGAAGTAGAAAACACCGGGCTAAAGTGCTCACAGTTGCTCAAACTTTAAGTCCAGCTTACATTGGTTTACTGAGTAGTGTTCATACTATCAGGGATATTGTTAGATCCCTTTCGACTAGACGTATTATAAAGTTATTGAATTTCAACGATAAATGTGTTGGTGTAATAAATACGACGTAGAAGTTTCATTTTAAATAGACAATGAAAGTTATATCGCTTTCAATATTCTAGTTTTGGTTGCTCAAAATACTAAGCTTACGGTGTTTTTAATTCAATGTAGATGGTTAGTTAATAACAAAAGCCTCACTCCTTATTCCATATTGTTGATAACAAAACTATACGAAGAATGTCATGCATTAAAATAACATAACATAACATCACGCCTTTTTATCCCCGAAGGGGTAGGCAGAAGTGCACATTTCGGCACTCAATGCTATTGTACAATGTAACACCCACTTTTCACTATTTATGTTATGAGTCCCATGTAATAGGGGGTGAGCCTATTGAAATATACCGTGCACATTTCCAGACTTCGTGCTACTACTGAGATTTTTAAAAACCGAGTAATACTTTGCCCGATCTGGGAATCGAACCCGAGACCCCTTGCCCGGCAGTCACACTTACGACCACTCGGTCAACAAGTGCATTAAAATTTATGTCAGTATTGTGGGTGCATTAACAATTGTTGAGTGTGATATACTGTGTTTATATTTGACTAGCTTTTACCCGCGGCTTCGCTCGCGTCACAAAAGGATAAAAAGTAGCCTATGTGACATATACCAATACACACAGCGCCATCTATACCAATAATTTCGTTTTCCCTCGATATTATACATTTTTCCGGGATAAAAAGTACCCTATTATTTAATCCAGACTTCTAACTTTACGTCTGCAAAATTTCAAAGCAATCGGTTTAGTAGTTACGGCGTGAAAGTGGAACAAACAAACAAACTCACTTTCCCATTTATAATATTATAGTAAGGATTGTGCTCGTCCTTTAAGGACGCGAAAGTCATGTTTCATGGAATACCTAACTTATTATTATATATATACTTGCCTAAACGGAACAAGAGCTCCTGTTAAATTGTAATTGCTAGTAGAACAGGCAGTCACCGTCACCGTCACAGCTAACCGCTGAACAAGTCACTGGTTGTGGTTACTACTGGTTGCCGACCCGTGCAGTCGACCACTACGCTACTAGATTGGTGCTCCAGTACTGTTTATATTAACTGAAGCTGTATTACTTAATATATCCGTGTCGATTATACACAGTTTATGAGATAAATCGAAGCTGTTAATATCAGGTAAGATAGGATAATTTGATCTAGACAATAGGGTAGATTATTAATTTTTATTTTAATGTACGGCTGGTAGATTAATTGAAACATTAGACACGTATTTTTTATTTTCTTAATTTGAAATGTCGCGTGACATCACTTCTATGTATGTACATTTTAAACGTAGAAATGACGTTTCAGCCCCCACTCCTAAACTTTGATTCGTTACATCGAAGTATCATTTTATTACACAACAAAATAAAAAAATCATGTCTAATATTTTTTCGTTACCTAGCTGACGGACTAATTAGATTTAAAATTTTCATACCCTCTCATCATCCCTATTGTACCTAAGTTGCATTTAAGTATAATTCTGTCTCTACAAATTCTTTGTACAATGATAAAGACGGCACGATGTTGAAGTCCAACTTAAAATATTGCCTTTCGGTGTTCGAATCATTCATACAAGCAACGTATTGATTATCAAAATATTATCAGCATTTATTTTAAACCTTAGTTTTCACTATTTACTTTAGTACATAACAGTAGGTATACGCTAGCACCTGCTCCCCGTATTTCTTCGCCCCCGATCTAGAACGGAGGATGGTAAATAAACTCTATGTAAACAGGTGCTGCAAATGGCGACACATTTGCGAAACAACTCAACTCTTACTGTATTTTTAAGAGATACTCTATTTAAACACCAAACAACGTCTTGAAAATAGAAAATCTATTTTCAATTGATAGATTTTACTATTATCACAAGATCCGGTATAGTACGTGAGCGATAAAGTTAAGTAATGTTTAAATGCTCAAAACTTTTACAATTAACATATAACATAACATAACATCACGCCTTTTATCCTCGAAGGGGTAGGCAGATGTGCACATTATACCACTTTACAATGTTACACCCACTGTTCACTATTTATGTATGTTATGAGTCCCATGTAATAGAGGGTGAGCCTATTGCCATATACCGGGCACAGTTCCAGACTCCGTGTTCTTAAAAATTCTAGTGAGAATTTTTAAAAAAGCCCAGTATTACTTTGCCCGACCCGGGAATCAAACCCGAGACCCCTTGCCCGGCAGTCGCAATTGCGACCACTCGGCTAACGAGTCTTTTACAATTATTACGTGAATACACTGAGAAAAGCTCTACCAGTTTCCAGCCACGCAGGGGCTCTGCCTTATGAGCAGCGTGCGCGGTCGCGGCGATGTCGCACAGCCTAGTCAACTAGTAGAGCTTTTCTCAGTATGTATATTCACGTGAGTAACCCGCGATCTTAGTTAATTTAGCATGTCTCACGATAGTTTAACAAATATGTTTCTCTGTCATGAAATTGTTATTATTTCTGGTTAGTTAGATGAAGGTCTTCTTGTTTTGTGCAGAATATTTAAGTAAGTAACAGCTCCAATGGTAAAAAAATTACTTATTGCAACTACTGATCAGGTGAGACCTCTTGTTCGACAGTTATATACGTTTATATTTACTCAGCAACGAGACACACAACGCGTCCAACACATAAGTGCGTTCATAGAACTTGTCATTATCATCATCAACAGTGAGCTGCGCGACGTCGCCGCGACCGCGCACGCTGCTCATGAGGAAGAACCCCTCTGTGGTTCGAAACTAGTAGAGCTTTTCTCAGTATATTCACGTGAGTAACCCGCGTTTTTACTTAATCATCAACAGTCTATAAGTGCCCGCTGCTGAGCAAAGCCTCTTCTCACACGGAGAAGGTTTGAGTATTAATCACCACGCTTGCTCAATGCGGGTTGGCGATTACAAACTTATTATTAGAAATTATAAGCTCAGGTATCCTCACGATGTTATCCTTCACCGTTTGTCAGTGGTGTCTAAATAATCTTAGAAAGTACATATAACTCGGAAAATGTCACATTGGTACTTACCATTGGTAGGTTTCGAACACGCACTGTCATGGATGAGAAGCGGGCGTCTTAAACCTCGATCCTCCACGACCAATAGAACTTGTACATAAATAAAATACCTAAAATATTGAAATATTCTACCAAAAAGAGCAAAGTAAAACACACTTTCAATACACACCTACTAAATCTGGATAACAAAATATATATGTACCATTTCAACGCGACAATTTCTCGAATCCTCCCGTTGTAAATTCTTGAATCGTCACATTGTAGTCCTTTCTTATATATATTTACATTCACCCTCGAAGTAACCTTTACGACAGGTACCTGTTTTTTGAAGACGGTTAAAATAAGTATGTTGCCCGATAAAGGAACTAATATTAGAATGACTCAGTATTTACCCAAATCCAACCCGAAGGGTAGAAGTTATAAATAAAATTGTGTTAATGGAAAACTCGGTGCGAGAATATACTGACAAGTCAATTTTTACTTTATGTTTTATATAAATAAGGTGTATTCTATGATCACGTTTGTTAATCGACAGGAACTATAAGTTAATCATAGTTGATAAGCTCACGTTTGTCCTGTTTTGTATATACTAGTCTTTATGATAATAATGACTGAAATACATCTAAGGACTTCTTGTTCAAAACTCTTAATAGTGCCCACTAACGGTAGATTTTTTTAACCGACTTATAAAAAGAGAGGTTCTCAGTTTAGCATATGAATGTACGTTTGTGCGCGATCATCTCACGATTGGCTGAACCAATTTTGATGCGATTCAGAAAACACTTTAGAGATAGTTTTAGTATCTACATTATTAATCGAATTAAAAAGGGGTTTATGTATGAATTATTTATTTATATGTCGACATTTGGTTACTAACTCTCCAGGTGATGTGCGATGATAACAATTGATGTTAATCCGAAATCTAGATCGATGTCTCCGTACTACAATTATCAAATATCGACCTTAATCCACAGATTTTGGATTGAGAGTGGTAATTAATTACGACTAATCTCAGTGGAGATAACAATCCTATACTATTATTACCTCTATACATATAAGGGTTCGGTTGTTCGTTCGTCTGAACGCACTAATCTTAGGAATTACTGATCCGATTTGAAAGATTGTTTTTTTGTGTTGGATTGTTCATTTATCAAAGAAGGCTTATAGGCTATAAAATATCACGCTAAGATAAATAAGTGCCGAGCAGAGTAGTAGAAACCACACGAATGTTTAGAGTTCTTTTATAGACAACATACGTTTAAACAAATGGACTTCAATCCCCTATTTTTATGAAGTCGGTTAATTAATAGATACACTAAAACCTTCTCCTGAGTGAGTTACAAACACTTTTCTGAAAACCGCATCAAAATCGGTTCAGCCAATCGCGAGACAATCGGACACATACATACATAGGACAAACCGAGTATATCTTTTTTTTGAAGTCGGTTAAAATACTTCCTACAGAGTAAAATCCATACATTAGAATAAGGTCATTATTTTAAAAACTTATTAAATATTATTTGAAGTAGTTATTAACAATTTGGTGACCAGATTAGCAATATATTAAAGAAGGGCCAAATTAAAAGTACCCTTAACCGACGTAAATGCATGAAAAGATTGATGACTGTTAATGAAGCGAAAGCGGTATGTAAGAATCGTAGTAATTGGCGGTCCCTAGTCTCTGCCTACCCCATAGGAGACAGGCGTGAAGTTATGTATGTGTGTGTTTTTTTTTTTTTTTATGGCATAAGCCGGTAAACGAGCAGACGGATCACCTGATGGAAAGCAATCGGCATCGCCCATGGACACCTGGAACACCAGAGGCGTTACAAGTGCGTTACCGGCTATTTGTGGATTAGGAGTTTGAGGATTGTTGGGGATTCAGGGATTGGGGAGATTGGTGAAGGGGAGGGAAATTGGGCCTCCGGTAACCTCACTCACGCGACGAAACACAATGCAAGCGTTGCTTCACGTCGGTTTTCTGTGAGGCCGTGGTATCACTCCGGTCGAGCCGGCCCATTCGTGCCGAAGCATGGCTCTCCCACACTTAAAATTGTGTATTATTTAACATTTAATATAATTGTATATTGTTCCAGTTATGCCTGACGGTGTTCATGTGCGGGTATTGTTTCTACCGCATCAACAGAATGCGTCAGAATGGAGAGGTAATAACATCTCTATATTATTATGTAACAATATTTGTTGTAGCCAATGTTCAATAAACTAATTATTGAGAGTGCTCGTAATTAGTGTGATTGATAACATGCATAACATAAGGAACTGGTTCACTAATACATTTGTTAGAGGCATTTATACATCCACCCATTTAAATTAAAATACAAACGGATATTTTTTGGGACTAACCCACTCAACTTCCCAAAACCGCTGCAACTCCTGTAAGCCAGAATGTATAGTAGATATGACTATGAAAACACCGAAACACTGAAGTCTTTTTTTTAAGGGGGGAAAATCATCGAATGACTGCTCCCGCCTGGGTGAGGCGGGAGGGAGTGTCAGACTCTTACTGAATAAAAATCACCCCGTTCCTTCTCCTGCACGTCGAGCCGGTTACCCGTTAGGTTCCCCGCGACAACACTGAAGTCTTAGGGATATGAATAATCTATCTTGGTTCCCGAAACAAAATAAATCAGAAAATATAAATAGAGGCAAAAAAAAGGTTGTAGTCAGTACAGTCGGATTATATAGCATAATACTTATGACAATAGACTTATCCTCATCATTATCATCTGCCAAGATACGTGCACTACAGAACAAAGGCCTCCCACTAAACCACAAGGGAATTTGCCAAAACTTCCACGATTGGAAAATATAAGGTTACATATGCTAATGCTACGTGACATATTCGAGTTCGAACTACGACAATAGCCTTTCAATAATTCATGAACAACTTTTTTAAATTTTCTCTAGAGTGGCATCTCAACCAGTGGAATCTTGCGTCTAACTCATATTATCCATCACATCCAAACGGATGAAGGGATGGAGATAAAATTTACACGATAAACACATTGTGGTCTGAAATATATTTTTTTATAATATAGATACTAGCTCCTGCCCGCGACTTCGTATGCGCAATCCCGTTTTCTCCCGTTCCCGTAAGCTTTTCAGGATTTTTTTCTGTCATAAGAATCTTCTCCTAATAATAACAAATACAACAAAAAAAGAATTAGTGAAATTGGTCCAGCCATTCGCCATATGCCGTGACAACGGAAAGCGGGTTTCATTTTTATATATTAGATTATTTCATATTTCACGAGCGGACGTTTGACCACTACGTATATCTCGCCTGGTGGTAAGCGATGATGCGGTCTACGATGCACGTCGACCCATAACCAACTACGGTCTGGAAGACATAACACATATTATTCTTTATTCCACAAGAATGCGGGTGAAGTGAAATCTTCCAGTATGTTATATTTACCAATAAAACTGTATGTCTATTTCTATTTGAGTCCTACACTAGAGCTAGGTCCCACTGCGCCGGCTCCCACCGAGCTGCAAAAGTTTTGATTTTTTAATGCTGCCGGCTAGTGGCTAGGTTTAAATGTATTCTCCAAACTGTCTGAACTATGGAACGTAGTTAAAAGTCTGTGTCAGTATTGCCAACGGGAATAATATTATATCATGTAGTTTTTTTTCATTGAAACATGCTTGTTTCGAATATAGAATAGTACATGGTTAGTGGTTGTATGTGGGTTGGATTCCCACACAAGCCAAGTACCCAAAAAAGTGTGCCACTAATTATAGATTGGTCTGATTCTGGGTGTGACGTGACTACCAAATTTTTATTTATAAACTTTATTTATATCACTTTACTTTTAACTTAAACATTGAACTAGCAACTGCACCCAAAGGAAAAAATAAAATATCCGCCATATACTACAGAGTATAATAAATTCCCCTTATATAGAGAATAAGTCGGTGATCGGATGAACCACGTTGATACCACTGAGGCCACATAAGCCCAATCTGAATCGGAAAAATATCAAATATTATTATATGTCCATCCCGACTTTAGGCCATTTCAATGATAAACAGATATTTGCATATTCCTGATTTGATATGTTTTACATTTCTCATATATTTTTATGTAGAATATGTACTATGTTTAGAATTTTGTCCTACAATTTTGCTAAGAAATAAGGACTTCTTTGTGAGAACGACATAGTTCCAGTCATTGATAGTGTGCTGAGTCTTAACTGTCACATAATCAGATATATCATATCATTACTACACGCTTTGTTTCATATCAAAAATAATAAATCACCTAACTAGTCGACTGTGGTAGCCATTTTTTCGTTTCATGTACATTTTACCAACTTCATAAAATCAGTTCAGCGAAAACAGTCACAAAAACCATGTTTTTACCCTAATTACAAATGTTCCTTACTTACTTTTCCTGTTTTTTAAAACTTTCGAGATAAAACAAGAAGTAAACTTGTTGTACAATATTTATCTAGGTCATATGGTCGTATTCGCCAACCACCCTTAAACCAACTCTTTAATAAGAGTTACTTAGCGTCAGGGATCAAAACAAACCCTTTACCTGTACCGTTAGGTGTTACTTATAAGTGGGTGAAAACCATAATGTCGTTAAGTGTTACCTATGTTAACGTAGCGGCTCCTTTAAATTTAAGAAAGATTGGTGAATCTGAGCATTATTATCACAATGACAAATCAACAGATCATTCCTCCACTTCCATGTTACGAAGCCAATTGAACAATTACCAACTGTAATGATGCTCCTGATTAAATTAGAAATCAATCTAAATCCTGGCAAATTGTTTGGTTGCTTTGTCTCCAGAATTAATGAACGAAGTTGTATTGAGAAGGATTACAAACTTGATGATTTGCTTTTTGGTTTTAGATCGCAATATTGTTGAGGCCGACTAAAGTTGTCTTCTCTCACAAGAAGGAGGGACAGTCTGCTGAAGAACTGAGGTGAGTGATATAAAAGATTTAGAATAAAACACAATCCACTTCTAGACTACGAAGATAAAATAATTTGGCATTATACTCACTTTGTGAAGATCACAGTTTCATGAATAAGATTTATCAAAAAGCTGATACTGAGTATTTTCATGAACGGACATCTTCATGGAGCCCCCTCGCCTGGGGAGGACGAAAGGGACTCAGACTCTTACTGACTAAAACCCACCCCGGTGTCCCGTCTCACACGTAGGTACGAGGGTGCGGGAGTCACGTTTTACATATAACAAATACACGTCAAATATAGTGTAAGATCATATTATAAAAAAGTCAGGTTCTACGACAACTGCAAGAAAATTGGTTGACTTTTAAAAGTCCTCCAGAACTTGTTCCTCGGCATTCTAATTCGAGCAACAAGGCAATCAAATATTTATATAGTCAAGACAACGTGATCTAGTTATTTTTAAGTTGCAGTCTAAGCTGTGTCTACTGTAACTAACTGCAGTGTTCCACGAAGCTATTTCCCAGTCGTATCTATTCGTGTCCGTTTACATAATCAATCGTTCATGTTTCCATATTAGAACTAGCTAGACTTATAGACTATATTCAATTTTTATCTACTGCTTTACTAGTGACTCTTCACTAGAATTCATTTACCTTGGAAGTTTAGGTGTCATCTAAGAAAAATATTTATCATTAATTTATATTCTACTGCATCTGATAAAGAAGTCTACTTCAAGAAGATACAAGCCTATTAATAACTGATATTGTACCGTTTTTAAACGTTATTTCCACTGTACTCCAAGTGTCTCTAGCTTTTTTCTAGGACCATGAACAAATTTTAAAATTTCATTATATTAATGATACTTTGTCCGACTTATGCCTCGTACCAGAAGACTCTCGAACGTAACCATTGTTTCATATTGTTTTTGTATGTCTCCACTCGAGCCAGCCCATTCGTGCCAGGGTATGGCTCTCCTACGTTTCATATCCCTCGACTACCTCGTTTAATTACCAATAATTCTTCTTTCTTCCAGAACGGTAGTAGCCTACCAGAACCCATTTACTGGGGACTACTGCGTCCACAAGAGTAGAGCTGGTCCTAAGGGCTACGTGAACAATCTGCAGCCGGAGTCTCCTGATAGTGGCGTGTCTGATGAGTATGAGCCCTTGAACCTGGAGCCTGTAGGTCCACAGCCACAACTGCCGCATGTGGAGCAGGATAAGATGCCGCCTGGCATCATTGCTATGCCACAGGTAAGGAAACTAGCAGTTCTGACTTATATGTCTGTTGTGTAGATTTTGGAATATTTTTGGTGAAGATTACTTTGATTTTAGTAAATTAGTTTTTAATTAAATGCGTTCAAGTTTAAATCAATATCTATTATAAGTAATGGTGTAACTAACAGCACATAATCAAGTGGCTGGCAGTCAACAAAGTGAAAATATTTGTAATGTGAACGAGGATCACTAAGAAACATTCCAGAAATTCCAGATCGGAATAATCTTTTTTTTTTGCTGGATCAAGAGGTAGCAAATATTTTTTTATCTATAAAATAAAATTCCTTGCCCCGTCTGCTTTTTTTGTCTATCTACAAAACGGCGATGAATTAAAAAAACAACAAATCTACCTCTAATTTTTATAAAATTCCATAGACGAAGACTTAATATTTTAATATCGACATTTTTGATCAAATATTTTTACAAATTGTTCTCCGAAATCAAATTCACGGTATCGGATTATAAATCAACTACCTTTAAAGAGATAAAAATATTATTGTTCCATTACACTTCACTTAAACTTCATTAAAATAATTTACATGAAAAAGCCTGAAAAATAATGTTTGAGAGCGGTTGAAAAATTAAAGTCAATCTAGCTGAGAGCCAATTTAAAATAATCCTTTGGTGTAACACTTTGCGTACTACTAATGGTAGACGGAGTTTAAATTTCAAATTTACTGAAAGAAGTACTAGGTAAGGAGCTTGTGGCATTAGCGGACCACGTAGGGAGACCATTAAGTCTTTATTCACTGAGATATTTGCATAAAAAATATTTAAAGAGAACCGTCAGCAACAATAAATATAACTTAAAACACAGAATACAGTGCATAAGAACAGGATTAAAAAATAAACATATTAACATGAAATTAAAGAAAATATAGTACACCTACATACATGCCACATAAACCCATATAATATTTACATCTAGAATGTTTTCTAGGAATCACAAACATGAATATTCTTCAGTAAATTTTAAAGCAGTCCCAATCTAAATATGGTTATATCAAAAAACGTTTGTGAAACTGAGAGGGATAATGTCAGGCAGACGTGGCGTCGCCATAATGGCACAAGTTTCCAACTACTATCGGCTAAAACTAATGCGCTTTACAGACAGACAACTATCCTATTAATGGCCTTATTAGTTAAACTTATCTCTGATCGGCATTCCAATGATAAAGCTCTAATGACCACGATGCCGATTGGCCACGATTAGACGAATGCATGCAACCTACAAATGATGATAAGCAGTATGAAGAGTGAGTGACACATCGTCGTGGCTCCGTTGACGCAGTTTTAATTGTTTCTACGCAAAATAGTCATGCAATCGTCGATTGACGATAGCATGCGTTTGACGTGCATCTAATTCTAATATAATCATCTTGGTTAATAGTCATCATCGAGTCTGTGATTGGTCCATGGTAAAATAGAAACCGCTTTTTCTGCGCTATGATCATCATTTATGATTATACTATTGTCTGTAATATGTTCATTAAACTGTCAAACACCAAGCGGTCACCGGTGACCGCAACCTATTATTCTATAATTGTGTCTATAATGACGGTACTCAACGAGTTAATTAAATAGGTAGATATGGTCGGAATATGAGTGTTAATGAACAATGAATTAATGTATCCGGCTCTGGTCAGCATTGGATCCTGGTAATGATTTACTTTACTAGCAGATGACTCTTATTAGTGCCATGATTGTCATGTTGTTGTGAAAAGTAATACAACTGCAATATATTTAAGCTATGCAGTGTGAAATGTTTTATGAACCAACAGCTGAAGCAATCAAAGTGCAAGCTTGAGTGGAGCAACGATTTATGTATGTTGTGACGTAGTGGGGCGCAGCACAGCGATACGTCACGTCGTCTATGGTTTATGGAGTCACACGTTTTTGTCAAGTCACTACCGAGCACAGAGCTAGTATGAACAGTACAACAGTGAAGCCCATATGTTACACGATTCTAAACAATGGCCTCAATGGCTTCATACTTTTGTTAGACAAAGCCCCGCAAAATGGCGGCCTATAAAAATATGATTACGGTCGATATTTTTTACCTCGTTACCTAAATTCTTGATGGAACGTATAAAAGAAAATAAGGTTGTTTATTGCTTGTACCATGGAGAGACGTAGATATACATGATCAGACGTAATTCGCCCGCATTTCTCTATAGACTATTTGATTCTGCATTTCATTTTGCTTTTCAAATCTGAGACGTGATTAAAGATTGTGTACATTTTACTATACGTTTGTAACAGCAAAAATGTAGATGTGTCAGGGACAATTACATTGATAACACTTACTTAGTGCTATATGGTTTTGCTTGTATTGTCAAAAGGTATAAAAAGGTATCCAATTATCAGGATCAGGAAATAAATAACTGCGTACGATTAACCATGACAACCATGCTGTAATTAATCAGCCGGAAAGACAAAGACAGCACGTTGCTAATTACTTCGCTCCCTTCTAATTGATCTTAAGTCAGTTAATTATTTTGGAAATTACTCTCCAATTAGGATGATGTTCTTCCTGATAACTCAACAGAAAATGTTTTCGAGCACAATGGAACAAATAACCAGTGCGCTGTAATCAAAAGTTTAAACAAACTAGAACAAAGAATGAGTGAATTGTTGAACTCGGTTCAAAGGTTAATTAACCCAATATATATGTATTTAGGAGTTATTTTGTGTTCGTCGACTGAATTAAATACATTCACTGAGTAAATACAATCTTTGTATAACACCGTACTGTATTTATATATTACACATTGGGGATATTTAAGTTTCTAAAATATTTTAATACCTACATATTTTTTATACAAAGACAACCACAGAATTGGCACCTAACGCCCGAAAAATTTTTACATTGAACCTTGACCTGGTCCTACCATCTATGTACGTGATATTATCTATATCAGATTGTCAACAGCAGATGTAACGCCCGCCCAATTTGAAGTCCAACTTAAATATAGTGCCATTTTTATTATTTTGCAAAGAATTTGTAGTGATAGAACTATAATTAAGCGCGATTTAAAATTATGTATTCTGCAATGGCCGACGCCATTCTGTTAAAAAAAAACAAGTTTTCTAAAATGAAATCTTTTTTTCAGCCTGACTACTCAATAAAGCTGCAAATGAGTCCAAACAACGACTACAACAGCGTCAACAAAACTTGGAACTGGAACTACAAGGAGTATCAGATCTGAACAGCTTACACTGCATCATCATGACCTTCTTCCATAGATATACAACAGATATGATATACTTCTAAGACACTTCTACACTTGGAACAAAACTTTACATTCAATTATGTCTTTAAGTGTGGGAGAGCCATGCTTCGGCAAGTACGTGCCGGCGCGACCGGAGTGATACCACGGCCTCACAAAAGACCGACGTAAAACAACGCTTGCGTTGTGTTTAGTCGAGTGATTGAGGTTACCGGAGGCCCGATTACCCCTCTTCCTCTTTCCCAATCCCTGAATCCCCAACAATCCTCAAATTCCTAATCCCAAAAGGCCAGTAACGCATTTGTAACGCCTCGGGAGTTCCAGGTGTACGTGTATGGGTGACGCCGTTCGCTAACCATCAGGTGATCCGTCTGCTCGTCTTAAAAAGTCGGCAGAAGTGCACGTTTTAAGAAAGAAACACCCATGATTAACCACAAATTATGTTATGACTTATAAGTTCCATTGTAACCGAGAGGAGACTGTTACCATCATGCCACACATCACATCACACATCGCATCAACAGCCTATAAGTGGCCACTGCTGACCAAAGGCCTTTCCTTTACGGAGAAGGATTGAGCATTATTCACCACGCTTGCTCAATGCGGGTTGGCGATTTCAAACTTATAATTAGAAAATATAAGTCCAGGTTTCCTCCCGATGTTTTCCTTCGTCGTTTGTCAGTGATGTCAAAATAATCTTAGAAAGTACATATAACTCGGAAAGTCACATTGGTACTTGCTGTTGGTAGGTTTCAAATCCGTAAATGCATGAGAAGCGGGCGATACATATTTTATATTATTAAAAATTTGGACCAGAAAATACCAAATTACTTAGCGAAAGTAGAAGCAAACTTTTGTCAATTTACTTACTAAAAAGTTGTTCCTCATTCCACACGTTCTGGAATCCAGATAATATATATACTGAGAGCACTAACTCTCGCGAAATATGGAGATCAACGTAAACGTGATAATTAAGAGAAAGTTCCATCGAAAACTTTTAACGATTCATTAGCAATCTCCTTTCTTTGAATAAAGTTGATTCAAATTCTCGGAATTATTCACACGATTTATTATTTAACTTGTTGTATGTTCGGGACACAAGTTTCTGTATACGTCTTCGTAAGTGGTTATTTGGATTATATTATTAAGTATTTGCTTTTAGATTTAACACTGTCACGTTATACCTAAGATAAGATAAAGGTGTATAAAAGTCCTTTTCTTTAAAAAACCCTAAAAATGTGTTTTAAAAATGCATTAATTTGTGAAACACTTTTTACTTTACCTCTGTTTAAAAAGAACAGGTTTATTAAAAAGAAAGGCCCATGGCTAATAAACAAAGGCTAATTGCCGAGTATTTTTTGTTTACTCCAGCCATTGACAACAACATGCAAAGAGTTAATGGTTTAATTAAATTAATCCGAAACAAAATTAGCTTGTTGATGAGTAGAACATAAACTTCGTTCGAAACGTTCGAGGTCACAGTAATAAACTTCGGAACTCGTCGGCAACGTAACGTAATATTGTCAAATAAGATGGAGCCGTCCGATTCACGATAAGAAAGTTACACAAAGGCGAGAGAGTAAGCATTTAAGTGCTGCTTAACAGGTTTAACTCTGAAGAAAGTGCTGAGGCCCTCGGCTGAGGGTGCTAGTAATTTAAGACCTCTGAGGAACTTACGGCTAACAATAACTCTTACCGACGGAATGATTCTAATTATACTAGTCGAATGTTGCTAATGAAATTGCGCCATTCACTATCAACGTCGCATTTCTTTAGTGTTATGTATTGACGTGGTTATTGGTTACGTTTTTTGTACAACAGATGTCGTGTTCTGTAACCATTAACCTTCGAAAATTATAAAACAGGGCTATAGAACACGTGCGTGGCAAAATAATGGCAGTGTCATCATCAGTGGCGTGCAGTCCATATAGGCAAAAAGGCTTTGCCTACCTTATAAATATCGTGAATATAACATACATAAAATGTACAATCGCGTTTATTCAGATTCAATTCTAACATAAATAATAAAAAAAAAAATAATTCAATTCTCACATATACTATTCACGGACCGCACGCCTTTGGTCATCATCAAGTCTGCTATTTTGTAATGATAAAGGGATTTACAGTGCCAAAATGATTGTCCACTATAAACTGTTCTGTCTATTTAATTCATAAGTTAGTAATTAAGTGAAAATGTGATCACCGAACAAGTCAAACAAAAATATAATCCATAGCTTTATAAAATGTAAGTATTTACCTAAGTAAAATAATTATTATGTTTTTAGATTACTTACGTAACTATCTGACGAGACACTCGACTCAAGCCGTGCTAGTGGCTTATACTATACCATAATAAAACGTAACAATAAATTTAGTATGTCTCACAAAAGTTTTAATATAAACACAGTACAATAATATTACACATAACATAACATCACGCCTTTTATCCTCGAAGGGGTAGGCAGAGGTGCACATTTACGGCACTTAATACCACTGTACAACGTGCACCCACTTTTTACTATTTATGTCATGAGTCCCATGTTATAGGGATGAGCCTATTGCCATATACCGGACACATTTCCGGATTCCGTGTTACTACTGAGATTTCTTTTTTTAAATCCCATAATACTTTGCTCGACCCGGGAATCGAACCCGACACCCCTTGCCTGGCAGTCGCCCTAGCGACCATTTGGCCAACAAGTCAGTCAATAATATTAAATCAACTCAATAACTTAATATTTAATCAACTCGTAATATTATGACGACTTCAGTATTTAATATGAAACCCTCCCGTTGCCAATCCATGCTCAAACCACTAATTAATAAGTAATAAATCTTTATAAATGTTTTGAATTCACTGAAATTTTATGAAAATCGTTGTAATTGACTAACTGCCCTAAAACTACTAGATAGTTTTCTCTCGGACCGCACTCAAATTGTTAAGGTGGGTGAATTTATCAGCGGAGAACAGACATTGGACTTTGGTGTGCCACAAGGAAGTTTACTCAGCCCGATTCTCTTTCAGATCTATATGAACGATCTCTGTTTACTTTCGCTTTCTTCTACCCATATTATAGCATACGCCGATGACACTGTCTTGTTGTCTAGTGGGCCTGATTGGGAATCGGCAAGAAAAGCGGCCGAAAGTTCGTTGAGCCGAGTCATGAAATGGTTAGGCAATAACAGTTTAACTCTAAATATTGCTAAAACAAACTTTATCACCTTTACTCCCAAACCGTCAACTCAGCAACCACATCGCACCTTACAAATTAAAGCCCACGTTTGCGACGATAATACCCAACACACTTCTTGCGCCTGTCAGATAGTTGCAAGGGCCACGTCTGTCAAATATCTCGGTGTTCTCCTGGACTCCTGTCTCAGCTGGCGAACACATATTGAATCCTTGGCTTCTCGTACTCGAAAGCTACTTTATGTGTTTAAAAAGCTGAGAACCTCGGCTCAAGAAAAAGTATTAAAAATGGTATATATGGGTCTATGTGAGTCCATACTTTCTTATTGTATTGCTGCGTGGGGCGGTGCAGCCAAGACAACAATAATCCAAGTCGAAAGAGCCCAACGTGCAGTTATAAAAACCCTCTTAAGCAGACCGTTTCGCTATCCAACCCAACAACTATATTCCGATTTTAAGATGCACACGGTCCGGCAGTTGTTTGCAATCCGTATCATTCTACGTACACACAAAACCATCATACCAAACAGTAACCAAAGCCCTGAAATCATTAAGAGAAAACCCAAACCAGTCTGTCCCCGAGTTCCAACAAACACCACCTTTGCGCGCCGACAGAGCCGTTACCTAGGTGCTTTAATCTATAACAAAGTCCACAACATATTAAATGTGCACCGCTTAAGCAGTTTTCAGTGCAAGTCCAGGGTGAAAGAGTATCTGCTCACCCTGAACTATGACGCTACTGAACAGTTACTCAACCCTTAACCGGCACACACACTCACTCACACACTCACGTACATACACACACTCACTCACACATACACACTCACTCACATATACACTCACATAGGCATTCACTCACATTATTCAAGGATTGCAGAATTCCTTTCTATCAGTATTCTGATTTTGCTTGCACCAACAGTTGCTTATTCAGTCTAGCCGTTGTTTATTTATCTTACCTTACCCTTGTTAATACTATTCTCAATTTTTTTTTTACTTTTTTATTTTTATTTTTATTTTTATGTCATAATACACCTTTCATAGTTATGTACTTATCAATAACACGGACGGTAGGATGACCCCTGTAACACAGGTTTTCCTAGCACGGGGGTCATTGAACATAATTATATACTAAACGACGAATGTCTTCATGAATTCTAGATCAGTGTCATGATTGTGTAACGTGTACTTCTTTATTTTGAATAAATGATTTTTTATTATTATTATTATTATTAATTGTATAAATATTAAAGCTTACTGTTGTGTACATTATAAATACATAATTCAATTATGTGAAATACATTGGAAATGTTAAATTATTACATTAAATAAATATTATTATATTAATGTACATAGATTTTGTTTTATTTTTATTAGATTTGAATACCACCAGTGGATATATAAGTTAGGTACTTTATTTTTGTATAAACAAATAGGTACATATTTGGTTCACGTAGGTATTTGTAATTTAGAATTGATAAATAGACTGAATTCAATAAAAAGGAGAAATATGATTTAATACAATAGAAGAAGAATGTATATTAGCGTACTTCGAATTCTCGAGGAGCCATCAGACTACCACAGATGGGGCCCAATAGGGCTGATGCCGATACGGAGCCGCGAATGACTTAATGGGTTACCGAGGCTCCGGGTCGAAGTCCAGGAGTAGGAACGGGGTGGTTTTTACTCAGTAAGAGTCTGACACTCCCTCTCGCTTCACCCGGGCGGGAAAAATGATTGAATGATTTTCCCCTTCAAAAAAAAAGCGTACTTCGAATTAAAAATGGGCCCC